ACTGCGACAAGGTGCATCAATCCCAATGATGTGGCCTTTGATACCTCCCCAACCGAGGGTAAACATTTGGAAATTAGTAAACCAACAACTCGATACGAACGTTTCAAAAAACCGCCTGAGAACATGGTGCCTCCTCCTGATGACACTAGTGAATAGGCGAAGTTCTTTCTTGTACATCGACAGAATAGGAAGTTGTCTCATATGTATACCAATAGCTAAATCTGAACCGCTTTACATAAAACATATGAGATTATTGGAAATATACAGTACGTTATACAGGTACCAAATAATGTATATATTTCAACGGATTTGAAAGAAAATACTTTCTTTAATAAATGAATTTCCAAAATTTTATTATTTTTTTTACCTATCAAAAAAGTTATCACTGACAACATAAATCCCCCCACTTCAAGAAAAATATTAACCTGACCTGTGTTATAGTAAATTTTTATTTTTGTTCACACACCTAGTGCTTGAATAAAATTGGAATTTTGTGTGAGTGATTATAGAAAATATTTCAAAGGGATGGAGATGAGAAGACAAAAAACAATTCTGAGGTGGATTATAACACTTATATTCAGGTTGGATATTGTTTGTTTGAGTTTTTGGCTTAGTTTTTTTGTTTTGCGTTTTACATATCATCGGTTTTGTAAATGCTGTTATTATTTCATTGTGGGTTTTGGTTTTTTTGCTTGTTTGTAATACATATTATTTGTTTTTGTGCTAAAAAGTTTATTTATTTGGTCTTTAGTTTTTTTGTTGTTAATACATTAAGAAAAAAATATATATGTATAATATATTTGGATGTATATATAATATATATTTATATTAATAATAATAATTTGTAAAGAAAAAAGAAAGTTATAAGATATACACATTATTGTTGTTGTGACGTTTATTTTCTGGTTTTGGATTTACATTATTTTTGGCTTTTTCTTCTTCTTGTTCTTGGTTTCTTTAGCAAATTTGAAAATGAGCAAAATACTTTTATTATTATTATTTCTTATATTGAGATTCTTCTTATTAATAATTATTATTATTTGTTATGATGTGGGGGTGGAGTATGGTGAGAAGGGGATGGAAATTAAATGGCGGGGAATTACTATTACGGTTTTTTATTTTTTGGTTTGATCTCTTAATGGCATGTAAGTCTTTGTTTTAAATATTTTTTTTTCAAATACATTTAAAAGTGTGTGTGTGTGTTTCTGCATCATGTTTAGTTTAGTCTGTTTGCTATGTATGTATGTTGTCTTTTGTTAGTTAATTACTATATTTTCTTCTTTAAACTTGTCTTTTTTCCATTTTTTACAAATACATTTCGCTTTTGTACACTTAAATTAACATTTCTCTTCTTCTTTTTGGTTTCAATTTTATTATTTTTTTAAATCAATAAAGCAACTGATCTGCTCGTTTCTATCATTTGATCAGTATTTGAAAATTGAAGTAAAATTGGAAATAAATTGCAAATCCTTAGCAAGAAAAATTTTGAAATATTAGAGTTCACAGATGGTATGGTGTTCCGAACTAAAAGACACATAATAAAAAAACATCTGTATAACCAATCCCTTATGAAAAGGACTAAAGTCGGACAGAGCCAGTTATATAAAGTCTATGTATACTGGGCATGCTACTCTAAAATTGAAATTATAACCCATAATAAATAGGGGATTATTTATGGGACCTATATTTAAATACGATCATATGATACACATAATTCTAACCTCAATTCGGTCACGTGTGTAAAACGGACTAAAATCGGATAGGGCCGGCTCGCTTTATGTATGCAGGGAATGCTATTCGAATTATAAGCCATAATAGAAATAGGAGATCGTTTAAGTCCAGGGTATTGTATTCAAATTATAAGCAATAATAAAAAATTGGGAATAATTTATAAGGCATATATTTATGAGGTCCACATCCCTGGAAATGTGGATTTCCGCAAGAAAAAAAGGTACCTTGTAAAAGTCGACCCTAGGGCTGCTTATAATAATATTCAAAACTATACACCACCAGGTCTTAAACTAGACATAACCCCCATCTCAAAATACAGAACTTCCCTTTGGCGACCGACCTTTTCATTTCATGTCCACACTTTTGGACCCGTTCGGATAATGTCAGTGTAATGATCAAATACTTTCCCCGATAAAAAAGTTCTGCAATTATTTCCAAATTTCCTCCGACATTTCAATCCACTGAGAAACACAGGTGAGTTGATATTGTTGCATATGTATGTGTGTGAATGTCTTTGTATACTTCTTTTAATTTTTCGCTTAATTAAGAACATCGGTTTCGTTATTTTCTTCATTCGGTATTATTTTAATATGGCTAACAAACTATTTTTTGCTGCTTGGTTTCCGGTATTGATAACTTTATTACAACATTGTGGGAGTAGAATCGCTATATCTTTGATAAAAGTTTGTGATTTTGATATTCTAGAACAAATGAGGCATTTCCTGTACACTTCTTCCCCAAAAATAGCCAATTTTATATAAAAGATTTCAGATCGCTACCTTTACCTGGTTTGCCGTTAGGTTAGTGGACGAAGCCTTATTGGTACCAGGTCATGTCTAAACATGATTTTCAGACTTATTTATCATGTCCATGTCATGGTAAGAGGGTACGTTGTAGCCGAAATCAAAACCCTCGCTAAATAACTGGATACCACTGTCAAACCCTTACCCTAACAAACAATTCAATAAATCGGGACGAACAGCTCAAAACGCCGCTCAGAGAACTCCTTATGACACCGGTTGACTGGTGTCCCGTACATCGACACAATAGGAAGTTGTCGATTCCTAATTGGATTCTATCGCCGGAATTATCCATGTAATCTCCTCATGGTTAGGATTCCCTCGCCCAGGGACGTAAGGAGATACCTTCATGATCTAGAGATATGGAGATCCAGCAGTACAAGAGAGAACATATCTCATACGAATGAATAGCGTTCACACAGAAGCATTGACCCAGACTATGGCCCATATGAACCACGTGAATGCACTTTATGGAGTCCAACCATACCAACATAGAGGAACTACAGGTGTATAAAAGATAGTGCAACCAGCCGCCTCATTTCTTATAGGCAGCACGTTACCAGACACATGACCTGCATTTGGACATGGACATCTCAAGATACTTTGCGCATTTTCGATTGCCAAGATAAGCGGACTCCAGAAACAATTCGACGACCCTTTTGAACGTGGAAACAGAGGAACCCCATTACAGTTGAGGGCATCAACACAATCCCGGAGAGACAACAACAACAAGTGGCAGTGCATTCTGCCATATTTTCAATCTAATTAAGGATTGTGGATCTATCCGCAAAGGGAATTATCAAAGGTATTAAGTCCACTGATCTTTATGGAGAGGAAAAGCTTAACATTCAGGTCATTTTTGTAAAATTAATAATGCGACAGCAATGGTCACATTTGGAGGCGTGATCCAAACCGTTTCGATGACACCAAAGCAAGGAAACATTCGAAAACATGATATTCCAGAGATAATTTATTTCTGAAAACTGGTTTTTTTGAGTGGGACTTTAATACCATTAAGGACAAGAATTTGTGTTTAAATCTTATAGAATCGCAAGTCCATCCGTAAGTTTACAAGAAACTATCTATCGACCAGTTGAACGAGCTCCCTGGTATTCAATCAGAACCTTCGAGGGAACATCTGGATGAAAAATATCTTTAGCGCCAAGGCACTAATCAATCAGAAGCTTTGAGGGGGCGTAATATTGAAAAACATCTTCCGCTCTTTCAGACCCATGTAGGCAATGGTCCAAATACAACTGGAAAAATTAATGCAGCAATCTCTATGTAATCAGGGCAAGGGCATGTCTAGTTTGTGCCTAAAAACAATAAAAAGACCTCTGTAAAGGTGATCTTCTGCTAACGAAAAAGCAAACATCCAATAAAATGGCACGTGTTCTGAATCTCTGGAAAAAAACAATTAAACCCATTGGCTATGAATAAGATACCGAAAATCGGAAGGTACCATTACGTGGACCAATATTAAAAATTTTAGGTATGAATGTTTCCACAATTCGACAATTTCCATTTACCCAATGAGAACCTCAAATTACTGAAAAGTCGTCCGAAATACTGAAGTTCGGAAAATACGGTTATATAAGGGCCTTTATTAAAAAAAAATATGGAAATAAGAACCCAAAATATCAAATTACAATTAATTTGTTAATTTGTTTGAAAATGTTTTCAAAATACCGAAATATAGGGACATTACAGAACAGTGTATCAATATTAATAATTTGTGTAAGTAGATTTGCCACTCTATCAGAAGCCAAAATGTGGAATTACATTCAATATGATTGAATAACGCATCCACACTTCTCAAAATATCAAAAATTAAAGGGAACCGTTCTATGGTACCTCTAATTGATAATTTATTGGATAATTGATTTATTACAGAAAAAAGTATTATTTGGGTATCTCAAATGCCCTTTCGTTATATAAGTATCAACATTTCAAACTCATCTCAAGGAAGATAATTTTTTTTCTAACGATTCTCCACAATGTCCTGTGAGTGAGTGTCTTTCATAACCTTACATTATTTCATAAACGTTTTTTGTTTGGTTTTGTTGGTATTTGTGTATGTGTTGTCATGTATTCTGTTTCTTTATTTTGCTTTTTTTTTACTTTTCTCTATGAACTATTTAAAAATTCATATATTACTATTTCGCTATTTGTTTATTTCATTTGAAATATAATTTTTTGTTAAATTTTATTTTGGATTTGCAAATGATACCATGTGTTTTTTTTTGTTATTATTTTTTTAATTCATTTTTTTTTTTAAATTGTAATTTAACAACATCTATTTGTTTTTTCTTTTGTATAGAACTTTGGTATGCGTTTTTTGTTTTGTTTTAAATTTAAATTTGTTTTGTTGCCTTAATTTTAAACTTTAGCTGCTTACTTGATTAGCTGCTTTCATGCTCGGCTCACTCGCTCCTTCATTCGTTCGCTTGCTCGCTTGCCTGCTTGGCTTTATTTTCTTTCTAATGTCTTTATTAAATACTAAAGAAAATGTGTTAAATCTCATTCATTGATATCCTCTTCGGACGATGAACTGGCAGCTGGTATAGTTGAAAACCATTGATCACGATTATTAGTTTTGACGGGGCTGGATAGAGGGAAAAGAAATAATTAATTATTGACTATTAAAAAAGTAATACACATTTTTGTGTTGGATTTTTAAAAATATATTTTCAGAGACTTATGATAGGAGTGGATTTTTTTTTTAAATATTTTTTTAAATTAATTTTTGAAAGGCCTTTGAGGGGCTTTGATTTTGAAAATATATATTCTTGAGGGTCTATGGTGGCCACGGGGGTTTTAATATATTTTTGAAAGAATTGGATTTAAAAACTGATCTTTAATTTTTTAAAACCTGCGAGAGCCTTGGATTTAAATAATAAAAGGACCTATACTGACCTTGGAATATTTAATATATATTTTTTGTAGGGCTTGGATTTAAAAATATATATTTTCTTTTGGGACATATGGTGTCATAAAATTCTTAACTATATTTTTAATATTAAAATGAATGTAAAATATATCCAGGACCTATGCCTTTGATTTTGTAATACGTATTTTGGACCTTTTCTAGGGTCTTTGATTTGTTGTTTATTTCTATTAAAATGTCCCATACTTACGCATTCTTTTTAGAATTTGTTGGCAATGTATGCGATATACGATAATATCCTGTTTCCGGCTCATCTTTACATTCCTCCAATGATTTACGCTGTAGCGTCATTGTCTCCTGGGGACCACCTCCAACACTGGTCAATTGTTCCGCATTCAAATAGTATTTTGAGCTTTGGGCGATTTTACAATTTTCACATTCGCTTAGATAATCATCATCCAAACTGGTATCGTTGGGTAGAAAATGCTCCTTGGGATTTAGACAATTTTTGGATGTGGTACAAACTGGTAATTGTTTGGTTTGAGAATGCGAATTGGTGGTGGAGGAGGATGATGGCGAACGGCCACCACCAGATGTTGTTTTATTACTGCTATTAGACGGAGAATTGTGATGGGCGCCACCACCACCTGCATTCAAATGAGAATCCTCTGGACAATAATTAACAGCCAATGTGGATGTTATTGTTTGGGTTTGCATATTATTTATATTGGTTGGTTGTTGTTGTTGCTGGGAATTGGTGTTATTACTGTTGCCGCTGTTGTTGGCAGTAGTAGATGAGGCACCATTTGCGGAGGAGTTACAGGAGTTATTTGCGGAGGAGGAAGAATTGGCAGTATACTGTTTGGGATAAGCTGGCATAGAACATTGCGAAACCGCATAATTGTTGGAGGAGGACGAAGTAGACGATGACGAAGCTGCTGCTGCACCACCATTAGATGATGTATTACAATTGAGATTCGACGAGGGAGTTAGGCTGGACTGGTGTACATCACGCTGTTTCGAACGTAATATCTTTGGCAGTGTAGTACTCTTTGAGGATGATGATGACGATCCTGATGTTGCTGCTGCTGGTGATGGCGACGACGACGATCCATGCATTTCATTCAAATACTGATGACTGTTATAGGCCCCCGTATCATTGGCGCCGCCCAATAGACCACTATAGCCATGGCCATGATAATTGGTGATATTCGATTCACAGCTACCCGTTGGCGGTAGACTAATCACCGATGGCACCTTACTGACCACACTGTTGATGGTACTGTTCAGGGACATCTTACCACCTCCCACATTCTTTGGCAGCGTATAGGTGACATTGTTTTGCAAGGGATAAAATGTTGAAGAGTTAATTTTACTTGTGGAACTGGTAAACGATGATGTGGTCGACGTAGTACTCAATGGAAGTGTCAATGATGGTGGCTGTATTTTCATAATGTGATCATGATGATCCTTTGTGGCGTGACGATTCGAGGGTGTGGGTGGTGTGCAGGTGGTTGTGGTGTTATTGTTGTTGTTGGTTAAGCCAATTAGGGCAGCCGATAACGATGAAGAGGAGGGTTTACTTAGTGTGTATATGGTTTGTACAGAGGTTGTGGAAGCGGAGGGGGAGGGAGAGGAACAGTTGGTTGAAGATGCTCCTGTTGCAGCTGCTGCCAAATATGTGGATGTGGAGGATGGATTCAGGGTACTACTATAGGCGCCACCATTTATGGTATTCGAACAATTTGCTGATGAGGAGCCGCCACCACCCTCGTTCATTTTGTGGGATGACGTATTATTTCGATGTGAAGTATTTGTTGTAGCCGATGATGATGATGTGGCGATCACATTAGTGTTGTTGTGTTGCTGTTGTTGTTGTTGTTGATGGTGGTGGTTATTGTGGCCCGTGGAGGAGGAGGCGGCGGATGATGAAGTTTTTAAATTCGTTAAACTTTTGTGTAATTTCGGTGGTAAGGCTGGATTCATGATATCATTGTTATAGCCTTTCAGGTGGTGTCCTGCTACCCGATCCATGGGCAAAACTTAAAAATTTATAATGATAAAAGGCCAAAACAGACTGTTGAAGCAGGACATAACATAAC